GGAGCTTTCTTCTAGTTTTATTATAATATGCTACTTTCAACTGAATTGATTTATGCATTTCCAAATTCCAAACAGCGCTCCATGAACATGAATTGAACTGTTAAAAATGACTACTTAATATTCGGAGAAACAATAATTATCGAACGAAAGCCACCAGGTTGTGCTCTGAACAATCTGAAAAATAATGTTTTCATAGAACAGGTCGACATTTTCATCTGGGAGATAATACTTTGCCTATTGTATTGTAATTTCCTGAGCACCTACAAAATATATATTATCGTTATGGCTCAGGAGTGCGCTATTCTAAGAAAACTTCAGTTGATGTTCAGCTGTCTAGTTATTTTCAGTTGTTAAAGCCTTTTGCTAGACAAATTGATATCACACATTTATAGTACTTATAGTACTATCAAGGAATTAATCAATAAAAAGTTCTTAGTATACTTGAAATTAAATGCTCATAGTAAGTTTTACTGCATCTGATCAGGAACAAAACATCTCTGAGAAATCAGTGAGAATATGAATTTGAAACTTAGTAGGCACTTTTGATACCATTGCTATTTAGGAATACTAATTTCCATATCTAAGCCAAAACGATGGTGCTCATTGCTATGTCTGTCTATACAAGCCATACGTTTCTTCTCTAGTGGCATGTTACCATTTCTGTAGAAGTTAATATTTAATAAGAAATACGTTTTCTATGTAATAACATATTTATTAAAAGGGGAAAAATATAAATGGGTTTAGTAAATTATTGACTCTATTGTACGTTGTAATTTATTTGCAATTTGCCAAAACAAGGATATCGGTACGAAAGTACATCAATTCAAACACACCATACAATATAACTCCAGATCCAGTTACCTCTAGTACAACATCAGTACAAGGCTATGCTGTAGATCATCCACTGTTAGATCCAAGCTACTACGTGGGTGATAGTCCTGCACGGCTAGGAAGAAATTAAATGAATAGGCGTTTGAAACAAATTGCAATTTCATTAAAAGTGATTGTGCAAGTTCTCAAAAAAAAAAAAAAATTGTATCCATTAATGGTTTTACTATGCTGAACAGCATCTTTTCTGATACCCATTTAGGAATCTTTAAAAGGGCATTGCAAAACGACTTCAAAACATCTCCTACACTTTTGGGGTTTTGACAGTTTTTCTCCACCAAAGCCTATAATTTTGTAAAACGCACTTTTAGTCTTACTCTACACATTTATCTGTTATCCGAAAGTGGTATCAAAACGCTAAAAGAGGAGCAGGCTTTATACAGTAAGCATTTAATGCGTTACAAATATTGAGAAAAAAAAAAGCAAAAGAAGGAACCACTAAAGTTGTTTTAATGCCAGATGAAATGGCTTTAGGAAAACATATTGAATGGGACGTAAAGGAGATTTTTGGCCATGATGGTATTGGCACAGCCACAGAATACGGTACAACTTCTCTTGCCATCTATGATTGGTGTTCATGATTGATACTCTAAACAGAAACTGAAAGGTATCTATTGGTTAGTTCCTTAGTAATGGCATGATAATACAAGAACAAGCACACTTGGTGAGAATATGCCTAAAAGAACTGTCTGATGTTGAGATTATAACCGTGACACTTGTTTTTGATGGTCCAAGTTGCTACTTCTCCATGTTGAAAAAACTGAATATCAATGTGTCGTCAGAACGATTACAGAAATGGATTTTCCACCCTAGAAATGAAAAATGCAAAATGTATGTCATACTTCATATATGTTACATACCAAGGCTTATTCAAAACACTTTTGCACCTGAGAAAATTTTAAAAAGAGCAGATGGTGAATATATTGAATGCAGATCATTACTGATTTGCACAAAGTGCAAGAACAAGACGGCTTATACTTAGGAAATAAATTACGCACAATGCACATTCAACGGCAGGAGCAAAAAAGAAAAAAGAAAGTTAAAGTTATAGTACAAACTCTACGTTCAAGTGTGGCAGATGCCATAGAACTTTGTAACATAGGCTTGAACTATTCTAAATTTATAGGAACTGAGTTCAGGTTAAATTATTAAGAATATTTGATAGATGTTTTTGTTTTGTTCAACTCCAGGATTCCATTAGGTAAAAATTCTAATATTCTAATAGGAAGTTCCAGCAAGTTATCTTGGAGAATTTTTCTAGTAGAAAGAAAAAGAACAGCCGTCATCGGTAAAAGAACGTATGCTACTCAACGTAAAACACCATTTATTGTGTTCCTAACTACGATAAACTCTGTGAAGCACTTATATCATCATCTTCAGCTTCCATGAAATATTTTTTGACATATAAATTAAACCAGGATAACTTTGATTTCTTTATTTGTTGCTGTTAGATCATCTTCCTGTTGCAATAACAACCCTACTGTTCGACAGTTCGCAGCTACATATAAATGATTGCTCATATGTCGTGAAGTAAAAGCAGCAGGAAAGAGCCTAGGATGAAACATAAATTTAATATGACTCAAAAGATCACATGACACTTCCTAGTGGTCCTGCAGTTGTGTTAGACGTATGTGTATTACACAGGTATGATCTTGAAGTACGTGACCCTATATAGGTTCTTTGTGATTACGAAAATGCATCAAATTGTACATCTTTTTCTCCCTATAAGGAAGCAGATGAAGGATAAGTTTGGCTATGTAGTCGAAATTAAGCAAGAAAAAATATGTTTTGGAGACTGTTTGGAGGTTAATTCTACAACAAAGAAAAAATTGAGATGATGTGGTAAAGACATCAGCATGTGTAATCAAAGTATGTCAGGCAATAGAAAATCATTTTGAGAGACTTCTGAAATCAATAGATGGCGAACTTCCTCAAGCAAGTACAACTAACCTTAAAGTACATATTGCTGTTTTGAAAGAAATGGTTTAGAATGGAGTTTCCTCTGGTTTTAATGGACAAATGTTTGATTGTACTCTAAAAGACAACCATGTTTACAGTTTGATTAAGTGATTAAAAAATATTAATGCGTCACCTTTCTAAGCAACAATCCGCAAAAGATGCAGGTAAAAATGTTTCAAAATTAATTTTACTTAAACATCAGTAGTTTAAGTCTGTATTAAATATAAAAATATTTGTACAAAACCCAAAGTGTATAGTGTACTTTTTTACAAACTTTCAAACATTTATCAACCAATATTATTTATAATTTGTGATATGAAATGTAAAAAAAAGCGCATATACAAATTCTGTAGTGTAATTTAACCTAATTTAATAGTAGATGTACGTTATCAACCTGTTTATGTAATTATATATGGTTTCGAAATAACTACAGTACTTAATAGTCTGGTGCTATTTCAGTATTAATACTTGGATTCCGTTTTAACTGTACATCTTATTTTACGATGTATTTGTACAAGTTTTTACAATTATTATCAATAATACAGCAGATCACAATAAAAACAATTTAGACCAATACAATATTGTCAGTTATTGCTCTCTTTCATTTTACATTGTTAATTCAACAATTTAAGGATCAACAATACGGCTATCGTTTGACATCAAGGGCAAATATAGTGACACTAGCTACTGTGCAGTCCAGTTCAACATAATAGATCAGTGGTACGCATTCAGTATCTGATTCCAAGAAGCCTTAACCTTTTTTTTTAATACACTTTTCACAATAATGCTTTTTACTAGTAAAATAAACTATAAAAAGTAGTACTATGTTTACTTTAAATCGTTTTTTTATACTTTTTACAAAGCAAAATACACGTGTTTTTCATTAGGTATTTTTCAAAATCACGAAGGCATATATTAAATATTTTAAATACATTCATTCTTACGTAATTTATTTCAAGACTGATTGATGACAGGCCTTTTGAACAAATAAAACTTGATGGATTTTTACTGTAATTACAACATTTCGAAGAGTATACAGTCACTCGCTCTGCAGTTATTAAAAATCAATTACAAAATGTATCAAAGGACTACTTCTTCCTTGTCATTAAAAATACTTAACTTGATGTAACACATTCACGTTTCTAAATACACCTAATGTAGCTAAAGAAAACAACTAAATAAAAATCACTTACTTAAAGATAAGTCAGTCCGATTGCATAACTCGCTAAAAACAACTTGAAACACTATACTGTTTCATTAATTCAGGGGTTACTTTTAAATATTTTCAAACAAAACCTGAACTAACCAGAATAACTTAGAAACGTACTTTATTTAACTTTCTAAACATTCCGTTTGAAGAGTAAGTAGATTCGCTTTTATAACAACATTTAAAAAGAAAACTTTTTATTTAAAGCACAAAATTCATATTCAAGAAAATGTGGTTAAGTCTGTGGCTTTTACCATCTAAATACTTTATAAACCACTCGACAACTTGTAACATGTAACTATTAAACTTATTCAAATAGTATTTTCACGAAAGGAAAGAAACAGAGTATACTAACATTGCCACAAACATATCCTACACAAGCTTGAACTATTTGTCTTTGAATTACATTTTATGGGTTTTGTCAAAAGGATTTTACGCATTCTGGTATTGGAATATCTTCATCTATGTATGAAAAAAGTTGTAAATAACTGATGGTTAGTAATTATTTAGGGATCCAGGTCGTAAAGTAACATAAAAATTTCTTCTGTTTCACGTAATAAATTATTGTAAGATATGAAAAAAAGGCATCGCTTCTTTTTCCACCACATTAAAATATTCAGTTGATTAAATTCAAGATAAGTCGATACGAATTGAAGGACCTAAAACATTTCATAAATAATATTAAGTGAATCGAAAGTGTTATTTAACATCAAATTTGCTACGAACACTTCAAAACTAGAACTTATTTGTTCATATTTATAGTTGCGAGAAATTACACTGGAAGTTCATTTTAATAGTACTAGATCATGACTTATATGAAATATGTAAAGTTGTACATTTGATCTATGTCCATTACATGCACAGGTTTGTACTCATATTTTATATTAGTGTAGTAATTATGAATAGACGTTTTAAATTACAAATTACACTGTTTTCTTCCGTCCAGATCTACCAATATATTCAGAGTAGGTTTTACCGATCCCCAGAAGTTCTTCTTGGAATTTCTTATGACATGGCCATTGATATTTGGAGTCTAGGCTGTATTCTTGTAGAGATGCATACTGGAGAACCTTTATTCAGCGGTACAAATGAGGTAAATGTTTGTTATTTTTTAACATTTTTAGGCCATAATTAAAATGACAATATTTCAGTTAATAGAAGTTCCCGGTAGACAAATAATCGAAAGAGTCTACAATGTAGATTATAATGGATAAACAAGGTACTTACAATGGAGAATAGACCAGAAGCACAACCGGAACACATTTAATCTCAGAAAAAACATACGTATTATTTCAGTTGATTATACATTGTTATAAATACGCTTTTAAGTAAGAAAAAACGTCTTCATGATAAGAAGATGATACATATGATTTTATTCTTGAATAATTCCTTCTATTTTTGCCATATGCACATATATTTAATGAAAACATGCACAAATGGACGGTTCTCGCAAACCAAAACTTGGCATATCAGTTATAATTATTTCCTGTTTAAAGGTCTTTAACATGTTAAGATATTTACAGAAATTCTACAAATTATATATTGAATTATGCTACAATACCGCTGATGTATATCTTTGTTTTATGAATAAGCATTGTTTTTAGGGTGATTTGAAAAATATTCGTAAAATGTTTACTATGCATTACGTATAAATTAAGACGAATCTTCCAAAAGCGAAACTCCAGGTTCTTTTGTAATGAACAATTTTAATATATGTATTGTATATATATATATATAGCATAATTACATTCACTAAAACTAAGACAAATTCTCAGTGATGGCCAAATCTGTTTACTTATTTAAAAAAAGGTTTAACGATTTTAAAAGTAATACTAACTGAAAAAAGCATAAAAACCGCTTCCTTTTCAACAACTGTTGATTTTAAAAATTCAATCACTATCGATCTCTTTACAATATTGAACTTACTGTATGTAAACAATAATTTTGTTTTCAATATAAATGTCAATAGAAACAATTCAAATTCAGTGACTTTGCTAATTTCAAATGCATAGGAACTGTAGTGAAAATGTATTCATTTGACGTTATTTATGGATAATCTTTCCCCTCTGAAAATAGTATAATAAGTTTAAATTAATAACCGATACAAAATCCATTGATTTGATGTAACGAAACCCTTACATGCTGCGCGAACGGAAAAGATATTCAACTTTTAATGATAATTAAATAGTAGTTTCTTTTTGTTTATGCTCTCAGGAATGCTAAGATGGTAATCTGAAAATAACATTGCCTGCGCAAAGTTATTTAAAAAATATTTAATTGTATTTTCATAGATTTAATTCTAATATTTTGATATTACAAGTACTAGGTTGTTTAATAAAAAAAAATAGACAGATTCCATTACTCTCTCGAGCTGTTTTACTCAACTTGGACCGGAAATCAAGAACAAACTTCAGGTATTAGTTCCGAATTTCTGACTGTCGCTCCCTCTGTAACCTTTCTTTACATAAAACTATAATATACTTATCATAAGAGGGAATAAATTGTAAGCTTTTAAATTGATTAGAATTTCATAACAATATTGAGAGTATTTCTTACGCCATTTCATAATAAACAACTTTTTAAATGGGGTCAAAGCTATGTTTACGAAAGTTATGGAATTTTGAAAATGTTGCATCTTCAGAGAAAGTATAACCAATATATATTTAATCCTTATGTCGATAGATGGTGCTGCAATATATTTTATTGAAGTAATGAGGGCGTTAACAAAGAGTTCTTTGTTTTTTTAGCGCAAAGTTGACACAATAAACTACCTGCGTAAAGTCCGTAAAGTTAACACTGACCAACAGGAGGACTTTTATAAATGGTATTGCAAAATTATGAATAGATTAAACAATCTAAATATGTAAATCTTTAAGTAATCTAACATCTATTTAAACAACTTATTGAAAACTTTCTGAATTACTCACAACTTAAACAAGCATCTTAGTAAAAACTGTTTTATGCAAAAAAAAAAATCTTGGTCAAGAATAAGTTACAATAAATCATTTCTCGCATACATAAATAAATTATTATTCTAAAACTGATTTATTAATAAGCAGGTATTTTAAGAACACAAGTATAATAATTACAAAACAACAACGTAAATTACAGAATTTGTTACACGTATAGCTTACATTTCATACACCACATACACAATATTTTTAACTTTTGTTATTGTTTTTCTTTGTTTGCGGAATTTTGCACAAAGCTGCATGAGGGACTGTCTGCGCCAGCTCTTCGTTATTAAGAAGTGATAGTCTAGAGAGAAGGTAACTGGTCAACATCACCCAACGCCAACTCTTGGGGTTCCCTAATTGTAGAGTTGGGTTTACTGTCACATTATAACGCTCACACGGCTGAATGAGCAAACATGTTCGGCGATGTGATTTGAACCCGCAACTCATAGATTGCGAGTCGGGTGCCCTATCTACCAGGCTATGTAAGATCTTAAATATTTAAATACAAACACACACACATATATATATATATATATATATATTTCGGTTTCAAATATTCATAAACAAATGATACACGTATGAATTGACTGAATAAAATTTATGTCCCCCAGTGGCACAGCGGTATGTCTGCGGACTTACAACGTTAGAAACCGGGTTTTGATACCCGTGGTGGGCAGAGCATAGATAGACCATTGTATAGCTTTGTGCTTAATTACAAAGAAACAAACAATAAAATTTATTTGTGGGTTCGAGGGAATAAGTTGAAAAATCAGATATTGACTATCACAAAACTCGTAAAGACGACACTGTATCAAAGGCTAACGACGTAATAATGTTTTATTGTCTATCACCTACTGTTTTAAGTTATTAGAGGATATTCTACTGTTAGATTTTGTAACAACTGGATATTTTGCAGAAAAGATTCAAAACTGATGCTAGTTGCGTACATTAAATGAATGAATGTAGGCTTAATAACTTAAGAAGGGTCAGACAGAAGCAATAATAACTGAACTATGCAAGCAACCACAATTAAAAATGAAATAAAATTAATTAGAATAACTAAACAGGGTGGGCAAAGAGATGAAATAAAAATAAACTTTAATAATAAATAATCTTTGATAATTTCACATTCTGTTACTAAGATTGTGGTTAGAGCGCTTGACTTGTAATCTGAGGGTCACGGGTTCGAATCTCCGTCACACCAAACATGCTCGCCCTTTCAGCCGTGGGGCGTTATATGTGACGGTCAATTTCACTATTTGTTGGTAAAAGAGTAGCCCAACAGATGGCGGTAGGTGGTGATGACTAACTGTCTTTCCTTTAGTCTTACACTGCTAAATTAGGGATGGCTATCGCAGATAGTTCTGGTGTAGCTTTGCGCTAAATTCACAACAAACAAACAGATACTCAAGTACTCTACACGTTCAATTAAATAAATTAAACCTGAAAGCTATACGTGCCACTAAAATTAGTAAACGTTTTAATAATTACTTTGCCGCATGTTTCTTAGTTTGCGTTTCTACTTGATTTCTTTTATTAATAAGTCGGAAATGACGAAAAATATCACAATTCTTAAATACAAAAAATTTTAAATTTATACCTTTAATTTTAATATTAATTAGAAATATTCCGTGCTGCTATATAATAACTGCTTAGTATATGTATGATTATAAATTTAATGCAAACTAACGATTTAGTGGAAAAAACGAAATGCACAAATGTTTAAATATTACAATACTGCACTATTCATTTCATAATGTTTGTTTCCAAAATTCTAACAAAGAATGGATTCAGAAAGTAGCTTTTTAACTGAGTGTAAAAAATAAAAACTTTAATAACCGCCACACAAGAAAAATACAATGTGTGGAGAAAGTTATCTTGTGTAATTTTAGTTTAGAAAATATAAGGTTCTTGTTTCATTTCCGTTCCTTGATTAGTTATCTAATCTCATTCCAAAGATGGACCTCTATACATAACAAAATATATATTTCACTCGGCAAATCGTATTTATAAAAAGACTAACTAAATGAACTAGGAACTACATTTCTTTTAATAGTGACGTTTTTCTGTAGGTTTTGGATATATTGATAAACCAGATATACTTACGTAAAGTAACTTCAGTTATTTATAAGTTATACTTATTTGTAGTTAAGTAAAGCACACATTGCTTAAATGTCCAACCTAGGATTAATATATCTTAATTCATCATTAATTGTTATGAGAACAACTATTATGTCAAACATCAAAATTAAATTCAATACAGGTGAAAACTAAAGGTATTTTTGACGCCATTCTATACAGTTAAATTATGTCATATTTCCTTGAGATTCACTGTCCACTTGCTGAAAACATTGCGCATGTATTACGATTATTTGCGTTTCTGTTGAACATTTCTGAATATATATATATTGGTTACGTTTTTCTTAAAACTGGCAACTACTTATTTGAAATTCGTGAAATCAAAACACTTTTCACCTTCATTATATTAATTTGTCTAATAATGAAATCCAACACAACATAAATATTTTCATAAAATCAAAGTGAATCTTATTACTGTAGTTAAAGTAGAAACTTCACAAATTTGAGGAGTACATACTATAAAACTACAGATGTAGTATTAGAGCTGTATCTCTATTTGTGTTCTTTTTATTTAAATTTGAAATTATACATAATATTTGTTTACATAAAATTTGGTTTTTATAAAATACTATTATTATCAAAGCAAATTTTGGATTCAAAGAAACTGTCAACTCTTTTTGATTAAACAATATGAAATTGTTTAGTTAGAAATACCTAAACTGTCACAGTAGCTCTTATTCCCTAGTTATACAACATACAGATACATTTGTTTTAGTTTTCCTTTGATTCGTATTAATCATACTGGTTTATGTTTATGTTATGATTTGTTATAGTTGTTCCTTAACTGTTTTCAAACCAACTAATATATTAAATAGCTCATTTATTGGGGAATTAATGTGATTATTTACGCGTCACAGACTAAGGCTAATACTCTTTAGCAACATTTCTATGCTTGCAATTATCTTTCACAACACGATTAATATTGGTTTTCTCAAGACATATACATTTTAGTGTCTTTGTTTTTTTTCAGCTACGTTTTTCGTCAATGTTTGATTTACTATTATTCTTACATTCTGTTTTTTTTTAAAGTTTTCCATCATCATATCTGGTAGTACTTTTACATGTTGGTTTCTGCTATGTAAATTCTTCTCATAAAATAACGTGCTCAAGAGAAGTTGCATATTGATATGATGTCTTACTGTACATTTATGCTCAGCGTGTTCTCATGATAGAGAGGTACACATTTCAAAAAACAAAAATTAATAGTTAATTCATTATTATTGTTAGCGATTTGCATAACTGGTATTTTTATAACAAACACATAAGATGATTAGGACTCGTCTTTTTACTAACTACCTTACGTTAGACATAAAAAGTATGAACCATAATATTTTGATTTTTTCACTGAGAACACTGGATACTATTTTGAGTTACGCTTTTATCTTCCGAATTTCTAATGCTATAGTTTATTTTCCAAAATTTTGTAATAACATTTTAAATTTACAATTTCCAGAATGCAATAGGTGAGATATTTTAATATATATATATATATATATATATATATGTGTAGGG